TCAGAATTATACAGAGTGCCATGTATAATTAGATCCCTGTGGCATGCCACTAGAGACCTTCCTATCTAGGCCAACATCAATTTATTAATCACTAGCACACTGAGTTTAACCATCCAACTAGCTATAAGTTCAGTTGAGCAAAATTTGACCACCAACTATGTGTCCGGCCTTGTGCTGTACACTGAAGACACAGAGATGAATGAGGTGTGTTCCCAGACACAGAACCATAATTTCAGGACAGTGTGGTCAGTGCAGTAACGCTGGTGGGTAGAATAGATTGTGAGAGCCCCTAAGGAATACACAACCCAGCTCAGGGGACCAAGGAAGGTTTCTTCGAAGAGATGGCATATGAACTAAATCTTAAAAGGTGAGTAGGAATCTTCTAGATGAACAAAGGGAGGAGAGGGCAATCCAGGCAAGGTGTATTAGTCAGGGTTCTCTAAAGGGACAGAACTAATAGGATAGATGTCTATATGAAGGGGAGTTTATTAGGAGAATTGACTCACACGATCACAAGGTGACGTCCCATGAGAGGCCGTCTGCAAGCTGAGGATCAAGGAAGCCAGTCTGAGTCCTAAAACCTCAAAAGTAGGGAAGCCAACAGTGTAACCTTCAGTCTGTGGCTGAAGGCCTGAAAGCCCCTGGCAAACCACTGGTTTAAGTCCAAGAGTCCAAAAGCTGAAGAACTTGGAGTCTGATGTTCAAGGGCAGGTAGCATCCAGCACGGGAGAAAGATGAAGGCTGGAAGGCTTAGCAAGTCAGGTCCTTCCGTATTCTTCTGCCTGCTTTATTCTAGCTGTGCTAGCAGCTGATTAGTTGGGGCCCACCCAGATTGAGGGTGGGTCTGCCTCTCCCAGTCCACTGACTCAAATGTTAATCTCCTTTGGCAGCACCCTCACAGACACACCCAGGAACAAGACTTTGCATCCTTCAATCAAGTTGACACTCAATATTAACCGTCACACACAGGATACAGCATGGGCAGAGGCCCAAAAATGAGAAGCAGCATGGTGTGTGCCAGCCTGCCTAATGACACTCACAGTTTTTCTGTCCTTCCACGACCCCATCCTAGAAGACTACTAAAATGCAGACATGAGTTTGGGACCTTCCCTGACATGCTAATCTGTTAACTATTCATAAAATTAATAGAAAATTGGTGTGACATGACTGTCCACAAGCTTGTCCATATCAGCTTCCCATGTCCCTGGTTTCCTTGCCTAGACTCTGAAGTTTATGTGACTGGCTTCCTCTAGACCTCCTCTGGGGTTCCGGTTACTCCCACTGTCCTGGTGGTTATGAGGTCTCCTTTGGCCCCATATGTGGAGATACTGTGAGGAGGAGTTTTTCTGACTTCTGATACTGGCTGTGGAGTAGAAACCCTCATTTTTCAGGGAATGGACAGGACCTGCTCATCCTGTCCTCGATACCGGGGTTCATCTCTCCTTGAGCTGCATTCACACCCATACTAATCCAGGAAAAGTGTATTGTGGATTCTGGCAGGCCCAATTTTAAAGCAGGGAGGCCCCACATCGTGGTTGTGTGACCTTAGCCAAGTTACCTCTTCTCTTTGAGCATCAGTTTCCTCATCAGTAAAAGGGGCTGCCCACCTGGGACAGTTGTTGTGGGTATTAAAGCATATGTAAAGTACCTGGCCCTGGGTACTTTCTCACCATTTATTGAACACCTACTACTGTCACTATTAAAGGGAGAACAGCATAGTGGTGAGAGCATGAGCTGTAGATCCAGGCCAACCTGGATTTGGATTGCAGCTCAGCTACTTACTAGTGTTGTGACCTTGGTTGAATTTCCTGGCCTTGTTCAGCCTTAGTTGTATCATTTGTGAAATGTGGTGAATGTACCTAGTTTAGAGTCATTTGTGTGTGATTATAGTAGTGTATAATATGCAAGGTGGGGGCCTTCACAGATCCCAGGCCCCTCCCCAGCCTGCCCTCTTCAAAGACACCTCCCCCTGGGGACCTGCCTCTTCCTCAGCCTCCTTTCTAAGTCTATCAAAGAGAACCAGGCTGCCCCCTCAGAGTCATAGAATCACCTTCTTAAGGGAACTTTTTTTTTTTGAGAACAGAGCCTTGCTCTGTCACCAGGCTGGAGTGCAGTGGCACAATCTCAGCTTACTGCAACCTCCGCCTCCTGGGTTCAAGCGATTCTCCTGCCTCAGCCTCCCGAGTAGCTGGGACTACAGACGTGCGCCACCACGCCCAGCTAATTTTTGTATTTTTAGTAGAGACGGGTTTCACCATGTTGGCTAAGATGGTCTGGATCTCTTGACCTCATAATCTCCCCGCCTCGGCCTCCCAAAGTGCTGGGATTATAGGCGTGAGCCACCGCACCCAGCCCTTAGGGAAATTTTCTAATGTTAAACTGCTCTTGCATTTCTGGGATTAAACTCAATATTTTTATGTTGTATTAAATCTTATTTTATTCATTCTGGATGTGGTTTGCTAATAAATTGTTTAGGATTTTTGCATCTTTAGCCATCTGTATTTGAATGGTTAAGTTTATAATGATCTCATCCAATAAATATGTGAGTTTTCTAGGAATTGGTCCAATTCATCTAAGTTTTCAAATTAATTATATTCTCTTATTTTAAATTTTTTGCTGTATCTTTTATGTTGTTCATGTTATTTGTGCCTTTTCTGTTTTGTGGGGGTTTTTTTTGTTAGTCCCTCCTAAGATTTTTTTTTTAGGCTGGGCATGGTGGGTCACGCCTGTAATCCCAGCACTTTGGGAGGCCAAGTCAGGCGGATCATCAGGTCAAGAGATCAAGACCATCGTGGCCAACATGGTGAAACCCCGTCTCTACTAAAAATACAAAAATTAGCTGGGTGTGGTGGCACATGCCTGTAGTCCCAGCTACTCGGGAGGCTGAGGCAGGAGAATTGCTTGAACCCGGGAGGTGTAGGTTGCAGTGAGCCGAGACAGTGCTACTGCACTCCAGCCTGGTGCCTGGTGACAGCAAGGCTCTGTCTCAAAAAAAAAAAAGCACAGATTTTTTTTTTTTTTTTTTTAGCAACTGGCCTTGAAAGCTTACCATGTATATTTAACCTAAATTCCAAGGTTAAACCTACTCCCCACCCAAACAATTCACAGACTTTATAAATCTTTAATGTCCCCCAATTTACATGTTATTATGTCTACTGTTTTTGTCCTCCCTTATTAAGGACTACACTAACAATATTGTTATTTTATGTGCAGACATTGTTTGCTTAGATTTAAATACTCATTTACCTTTTATTTGCCCACCTTTCTTCTTTTACCTCAACTGTTGTTTTTTTGGGTGATTTTTCTTCTTCTTGAAATATATACAGAACTTTAGAAGATCCTTTAGTGTAGATCACTTAATTAGAAAGTCTTAATCTGTGTTTATCTATAAATGCCTTTTTTTCCTTTTATTCTTCTTAAGATAGGTTTGATAGGTACCCAGTTCTAAAGTACCTTTTTAGAAGGATATTAAACACTGACACTAAGAGGACATTATGACACTCTTGTCTAGTTTCCATGATTACTGTTGCAAAGTCTACTGTTACTCTAAT